CCAACTTCTGCCATCCTCACAGATTACAGTAAATTCAGCAAGAGAATTGGAAGAGCTCCTTAGAGGAACGCTTTCAAGTATGATGTATCTTTGGTGGTACAGCTATGAGGGTGGTCAAATCAGTATTGCAGAACAGATCTGACCGTCAAGCCACTCCTCATGTATCAGGGGACTTGGTTAATGTTGCTTTTTCTCTTTTTAGTAGCCCTAATATCTCTGAATTACACGTCAGACAGAATGAGTACTAAGTCAGAATTTATTTTCACTCATGGTAACTAGGAAAATACTCTCATTTCCCTAATGTTTTACTTTCCAATTTCAAATAGTTTGTGTTTTGGTTAGTAAAGACAAGCCAGAGAGAGAGAAAGAAACCTGCTGTTTTTATATCAAAAGTATATGGAAGAGTAAGGATATATTTCAAAGAGTGTTTCAAAGCTATCAAGCATATTAAGGACATAACAAGTGTTGATTCTTCTCACAAAAATTTAAGTAATTCCAATTGCTATTCCCTTTAATACTGAGATGTGGTTGGACAAGGCTTGAATCTTGTAGAGTGAAATATTTACAAAGCATTCCATTTTTGTGTTTAAAGCAGCTATATAATTCAAACAAAGCATGATATTAAAATTTTCTCCCTGTATTTTGGAATGTGAACTGCAAATAATTATGCTCTTTTATGGTGATGATGTTCTACTGACTGAAATTTTCAGGTCATTAAAAGCAAAGTTAATGCTATCTACTTCATGTTTTGGGCATGTAGTGAGTTCTCAGTGACCAGTTATCATTGCTTAACTTTATCATAAAAGGAAATATAAATGTCAAGAATAAAATGAAAAACCAACAAAATCATTTTGCTCCAGTGTCAGAATCACATTACTTATCTGACTTCTGTTCGGTTTTTGGGAAGAGTTTTTATGTTAGTTGCCGCATACACCTCCATAGCCTAGCACAGCAAAGCATTAGTGGTATTAATGGCAATGGCTATTATTTATAGAACAAACTCAATATAAAAAAATTTAAATCACTTTCTTTGATCTTCAGAAATTATTTTCTTTTATTTCCCCCATATTAAATAACTTATAAGCTCACAAAATAATATTGTACAATACCATGGTAATATGTATTCATCTTTGTTTATAACAGCATAATTTTTAATAGCTAAATCTTGGAAACAACCCAGATGCCCATCAACTGAGAAATGGATAAAAAAATGTGGTATTTTTATACAATGGAGTAGTACTCAGCAATAAAGAAAGATCACATTGAAGCTTTTATAGGTAAATGGATGCAACTTGAGGCCATACTCGTAACTGAAGTAAATCAAACTCACATGTATAAATACCATATTGTCTCCCGAGTATAAGAAACTGAAAGAGTAAATAAGATGTAAAATCTTCAATAAATATTGTGAAAGGTAAGAAACTGCTCAAAGAAAAAAAATAACTCAGGGAAAAGAACACAAGGAAGAGAGAAGAAAAATATATAATTTTTTATATGTACACTTAGGATTCTAAGATGACTGTATGACTAATTCTGTTCATTCTTGGAACAAAACAGTTAACATCCATAGGATTACATCAATATTACACAGCTATATCTGGTCATTTGAGTAAGACTTTTAAAGATAACGATATAAAACAACAAAATTACTTATATAGCCTATATTGTTTCTGAAAGCCTATATTGTTATTGTCGGGCTTTTTGTTATAGTTATCTGTATGCTCTTGCTTCTTATTTCTCTTGCAAATTTTTGTGCTTTGTTTTATTTTTCCCTATAATACAAAAAGGATAGATGTACATGTATAGATATATATGCCTATAATTTCAGGTAAAGAACTGTACATGAATTAATTTTATTATTTGTGATGCTCCGAACAACTACATTGAAGAAAACAAAACATCATGGTAGTCATTACTGATTTCTTGTCATTTTGTTTTGAAATCTAATAATGCTTTTATTCTTGGTTTTGATTGGTTTTAGTTTGTTTTTAATCATTTCATTTCAATATGTATGAAAGTATGGACAGCTATTTTGAAGAAAACAAGAGACAGTATGGTAGCCATTATTGATTTCCTATTGTCTGGTTTTGAAGACCTGTAAGACTCTCATTCTTTTGTTTGATTGCTTTTATACTATTTTGTTTTGTATAACTTATTGTGTGTGAAGGTATGGAAAACTATTTCAAAGAAAACAAGATATTATGGTAGCCACTGCTAATTTCCAGTTGTCTTGTCTTGAAGTCCTGTGGTTTTTTGCGTTGTTTTACTCTGATCTGTTTTGTTCTGTTCTGTTTTGCTTTGCTTTGTTTTTGTTTAGTCTTTTTAAAATTTAAAAAAAAAAACAACATTGTGCAATAGTTTAGCACATTGACTATAACACCATACAGTTATGTTTTTAGGATCCAAGTCTTACAATTCTCAAAGCTTTAGTTTCTTTACTACAAAATAAGAATTACAAATTTTGTCTTTCACATGAGAAATATTAAGTCAAATAATAGAAAGAACATGCTTAAGCCATACTGTGTATACCAACACACACACACACACACACAGCCACACACACACACACACACACACACACGCCTTTGCTTCTCAAAACTTATGCTTCCCCTAAGCTACTATGTTCTATCTTCACCTCTATGCTTTTGTTAACTCATCTGATTTTCACAAATAAGTAATATTTCTTTCTAGACCACAATATAAGCACAGATAATTATGTTCCTAATTTTACTTCAATTCAATAGATAGTTTCTTTAGAAATCATCAACACTTACCAAATATATCCCATAGAATATAGAATATAATTTCTCTCAACTGACACATTGCGTATTATAATACACAGTAAGTCCCTATGTGCCTGTGTTCACTAACAAGCTATGTGGTTTTCAAGATCAAGGACTATGTCTTATTTCATTTTACTCAGTGTTTCTCAATACCCGATTTGGGGCTTGAGCCGCAAAACATTCCCAGCAGGTATTAGAATGTGAGATGAATAGAGGCAGGTATGCTTAGAGCAAAGAGCTGAGCTCCCAGTGCCCCCACCTTGTGGATATTCCAAGTAAGAAGAGGAGCCACTGGGCAGAGAGGAGAATCAGGGGGTCAGATAATTGTGTCATTATAGATGCATTTATCTGGGTTCCCTCCCTTGGGTCAGACTACAGTCCTAAAGGTCAAATGTAGAAGGGAATGCAAAAGTGCATTGCCTTCCCCTTCCAAGTATTTGGGAACCTAAGCTTACTTCAAAGATTTTTATGCCTGATGCTCCCAAATAAATGTCAGGGTAACTGAAGATCTATCAGGGTAACTCAAAAATGGTACTCCTGAGCAGCATATCTTACCCTCTACTGTTATAACTGACAATATGAAAATGTGAATTCAGTTCAGTTGTTCTGAGGAAGAGTAGTTACTGTTAAATTTTTCTCTGAGTGAGGAGGAATGTCACTGAAATTGTGGGCCATTTTAGTCAGGATCCTCCAGGTAACAGAACAAATATGATGACTAAACTAATAGACAGACAGATGGATGAAGAGACAGATGAATTAGGAGAACTGACTCACATAGTGATAGAGGCTGAGAAGATTCACACAATATTGCCTACGAGATGCAAAATCAGGAAAGTTGACAGCATGGCTCAATCCAAGTCCAAAAGCCTCAGAACCAGAAAAGTCAATGGTACAATTCTCAGTCTGAGGGCTGTTTCAGGGCCATTTGTTTAAGTTTCAAAGTCCAGAGAAACTGAAGTTCTGAAGCCCACGTAAGAGAAAGAACATGTATTCCATTATAGAACACAGAGAGTGAACCTGCCTCTTCCTTTTCCTTTGTCCTGTTGGGATTCTCAACAAATTGGGTGAGGAAAAATCTGCCTTACTTATTCTACTGGTTCAAATGCCAAACTTTTCTGATAATATCTGCACAGTAAAGAGTTACCTGTTGTTTGAGTATTTCTGAAAAAAATTAATATCACACGAACAATATTTAAAAACCAATACATATAAAATATTTCTTTTGAACCAAAAATATGTATTTCTTTCTAAAGTAGACAGATAGGTATAGACATATTTTATTCTAAACTGGTATTTCCCAACTTGGCTATACATTACAAAATCATGGAAAGCTTTTAAAAAATATAATACCAGATCTACTATCTTTTCTACCCCCACCTTATCTGTCAATTAGAGTGTGGAAGGACTTCTTCCAATGGATTCCAAGGTAAATCCTATGCGAGAACCACTGTCCTATCAGTTCACCAGGTTCATTTAGATTCTAGTCCAAGTCCTGGTATAATCCTTGGTTTATTACTGGTCCACTACAAGGTTAAGTGCTAACACTGACAGTGTGTCGTAATCCACTCAAGTTCCTTTAATAAAATACCATACACTGAGTGATATACAACCAATGTAAACTAATCTGTCACAGTCCTGGAGGCAAGGAAGTAAGGGCCTATTTCCTGGCTCTCAAAAAGTGCCTTCTTACTGTTCCCTCACCTGACCAAAGGGGCAAAGCTCTTGTCTGGGATGTCTTTTACAAGGGCACCAAACCCATTCTAGATGGCTTCATCCTCACAATCAAATTAGCTCCTGAAAGCTCCACATCCTAATACCATTGCATTCAAACTGTAGCAAAGTATCGAGAAACTTTCATGTAATATGATAACTTTAACTTGTGTTTATTAAATCAAACAATAAAAATAGATGGACTAGTGAAAAAAGAATAATCTCAAAATAATAAGGAATATTTTGGTATTCCAGATGCCAGTTTTAAACTATTAACCACTTAAAGCTAAAACATTAAGGCCATGGAGCCATTGCTCAGGGAAGCACTTGAGCACCTGGGTGCCAGAGGGTTAATGAGCAAGACTAGGGTAGGTGGAGATTAAAACCAGGAACACATACCCTCCGATTTAGATAGTTTGCTTACTGTTTAATTGCCCTTAAAACACACACTTTCATATAACACAGGAGGTGAGGGCTGAATGAAGTTTTCTGGGTAATGTCTTGAAATGTTTTCCTTATGAGACGTGGTGTTGAGTTACAGCACAGCTGAGAACTGGGAGGAGAGAACTGCAGCCCCAGCCCGGCCCCCACCTTTTCTTGGGCTCCTAGGAAGGTGGACGTGGGCACCTAGAGACAGGGCCAATGACATGGTGATCTGTCCTGTGTGTTGCAATCTACTGATTCCAGTGTGACTTAAGTCTGCTGTTTACCAGGGTTTAGCCGGGCCAGGCGAGCAAGCACAGATGCTCTGCTGTGCAATGCCACGCAGGCAGGGACTGACAGGCAGCAGGAGCCGAGCTTCCCCCTTGGACTGACTGCGGTTTCCCCACTGTGTTCAGGGCAGGGGGTGCTTTCTGGCAACTCTGCGGCTGCTGCTGTTGCTGCTGCTACTGCTTGAACCCTGTCTTCGTTCAGGTAAGCAGGTTCGAAGGGAGGGCAGGCTGCAAAGGAAGTCTTTGTACCATGAACAAGATCCGAAAGTTTTTCCGAGGAAGTGGGCGAGTCCTGGCATTTATATTTGCAGCTTCTGTCATCTGGCTGCTCTTTGACATGGCAGCTCTCCGCCTCTCATTCAGTGAGATCAACACTCGGCTCCTCAGGGAAGACATTGTACGGAGGGAGCAGATAGGATTCAGAGTTCAAGCAGACCAAGAGAAGATCCTTTCCAGCAGCATCAGAAAGATGAGGCCTTCCCCAGGAGGACTTGGGAAGAGGGTGTGGGGGAAAGAGAACTTTAGAAAGATTGAGGACAGTGTGCTTGAGATGGGGGATGATTTGGATCAAGCTCAGAAGGAAAGAAAGATGCAAAACACCCTGATGAAAGGCAAAGTTTTACCTTTGTGGCATCCTGGACATCGGCAGACTCCCACTGGGACTCTGACCAAGCAGAAGGCAGAGGTGAAAGGCAGCAAATCAAAAGCCTTCTCTTTCCAGATGACACCACGGCAAACAACAGTGCAGGGGGCTCAGAAAAGTCCATTCATAGCAGCAAGAAGAGCTGCACTGGTCAACACCTCAGGATACACAGAGACTGTCAGTACAAAGCAAGAGATCCTGAAGACTCATAGTCTCAGCAGTGACACATCAAAACAAGTAGCTGAGGGGGACATCACTGTGACCATTGATCTTAGAACTAACAAAACAAAGCAGCAGTCTCAGGCAGTAGCAAATAAGAGGACACATCCTGCCAACCCACCCGTGCCAAACTCAGTGGAAGCCACAGCCTCAAATAAAACTGAGACTCAGAACAAAGAATTGCATGCAAAGAAACACAAAGTCCATAAGGGTCTTCCTTTTTTCAAACTCATCACTGACTCAAAAGGCTTAAGGAAGCTGTCTATGAACAAAACGCAGCTGAGAGGCTTGCCAGAGGATGTTGGTACTCTTAAGGAGCAACTCAATTTCTCCGAAAGCCATGTTGTGATTATAACCAAGGAGGAGGAGCTAAAAACAGACACCAAAAAGACTTCCAACTCTAAAATCAAAACTATACTTCCTGAAATAGTGGATAAAAGTCAAGGAAAACAAATTTCCAGGATTAGAAGTAAAGCATCTTTCCCCTCACCTGTTTTACAGAAAGCAATAGTGTCTCGTACCAGAAATGAAATAGATGAAGGGCTTAGGCCAGCAGGAATCAATCTCACTGCCAAGGCCCAGCCTGCAGAGCACAAACAAAGTCATGCAAAAGTCCTTGTACCTGAAGACCATGGAATGCACCAGGTGTTAAAAATAGATGTGACACTTTCCCCAAGGGACCCCAAAGCTCCAGGTCAGTTTGGACGTCCTGTCATTGTTCCCCCTGGAAAGGAAAAGGAGGCACAAAAAAGATGGAAAGAAGGAAACTTCAATGTCTACCTTAGTGATCTGATCCCAGTGGATAGAGCCATTGAAGACACAAGACCTGCCGGGTAAGACCCATTTTTCTTCTCTTTCCTAGGTTTCAAGTACTTTGACTTTCACATAGCAAAGATTTATTTTGAACTAAGTTTGTGTGAATTTTGACCAGGTAAAGAGTTAAAGTAGTATTAATCATTAGATCCTATCCAAATATTCTACCATCCACCAAAGAAAATTCTGACATGAACACATGCACTGCTTTTTCTCCATATATACTTATCTCTGCAGCCCTGTTTCTATAGTTCCTTTTTCTGGCTTTAATCCTTATTAATTCGAGTTCCATTTCTTTCCCTTTGAGGCAGAATGCTTGCCTAGCACATGCAAGGCTCTGTGTTCAACCCCTACACTACCCAGAAAAAGTCACTTACATTTGCAGAGTAAGACATTTACAGTGAGTCTGTACACCCATAGATGAGCTCCACAGAGAAATGAGGTGGCAGGCATCATGTTTCAAAGTAATTGTCCAAGGTATTCAAAAGTTACATTATATTTAAAGTAGTCCAGTGCTAAAGCTGTCTTTGAACAACTGAATTCCTATAATTGCATCATCAGGCGTCAATCAAATCACAGAGCTTGATCTGATGTAAATATGGTTTGGTTTCTAGCTTTTTTTTCCTTTGGCCCACTCCTAAGTGAGTATACATTGTAACCATATGTTCACTACTCATTAACTGATCATTCAGCTCAAGTATACTTTGATTTTTCACTTCCCTGAGCCAAACAAGATTGCCTAAGCTGTATTCATTGGTAAAAGGAGCCACTTCATTAGGAAGTCAGCTATAATGAAGCCATTTTCAATCTCTTAGCTACTGACAAATAGCTGTTGGCCAGAGACTTCCTGTTTAAATCATGCACTGTACAGATTACTCACCTTGGTGATACAGCCTTGATGACAACACAAAATATCCACTGACAGGGAAAGTGAGGATCTATGTCTGTGATCATAGAACTAGTAATTGAAGAGAAGTGCTTAAAAGTCCACTTTCAAAATTATGCTTCACTCTCTCCCTCCTCTTGTTTTATCCCTCAAGAATGATCTTAAAAATAATATTGGCCCTGAGTTAATCTGAAATCCTATATTTCACAGGACTTCATGCACCCTTTTAAACAAAAATGCAAGGGAATGCAACAATCCTTTAAGTGACTATGTTTTAAAATGCAGCCAGGCAGACTGCTCTGGGGTCTGGGAAAGAATCCCACCCAGCACAGGAGCAGGGGTTCCAGCTCCAAACTGGAGAAAGAGCCATGTGTGAGGACAGAAGCAAGCTGCAGTGATGTTATCATTCATGTGAGTTATACAGTCATGGATCCTGTGCATGTTAGGTTTTATAATTTGGTCTGTGGAACTGAAGCCTTGCAGCCTAGATAAGTTATAGTCAGTCTCCATCTCCAAAGGGGTTTGTCCAAGTCAGCAAAACTGCCTGTTCTGGAGGTGGCCAGTCAGAGCGCCCCTCCCTCTTCTCACACAACCCACCTTTGCTAAATAAAGGTGCTTCCTCACCCCTGCCCCTGCCGGCTGCTTTGCTCCACCCCCAGGGAGGAGGGGCCAGGCTGGCCACAGAGAGCCTAGACGTGGGGCTCCCCAAAGGGTTAATAGTCCTGTCGTGCCAGTGCCATTCTTTCTTGAAAGAGGATAAAACATTGTTTTCTTTTACCCAAACATTCTGATAATAAATACATTTAAATTATGTATTTGATAGGTAAAGATCAGAAGGAAATATAAACTAAAAACATGTCCATCAAACAAGAAAGATCTGGAGTTTTTTTTTCTTTTTCTTTCTTTGATTTTATTGGTTTGAAGTCTCACTCAAAAAGTACTTAAGATGCCTTACAAGAATACATAGAATAAAATTTTTAAAGATAACAGATTTTAAAAGGCAGCATAAGGAGAAAACTGTCATACTATAAGAAAGTGTGTGTGTGTGTGTGTGTGTGTGTGTGTGTGTGTGTGTGTGTGTGTGTGTTTAGGGCTAACACAGCCATCAAGACACAGATCTATAAAAGCACAGGAGGATGGATTGGTCCTAACATTAGCTCTAGTGACAGCCTACAGCAACCTTTAATTATCATGATTTTGCAAGTGTGAGAAATCTCTCCCTTCCTACCCTTTGTATTCCCCTCATATCTGCCACCCAGTATTATAACTTAACACAGTATTGAAACTGTTCATTGAATATAGATTGACAAAAAAGATTTAAAAACATAGATCTGTTATATTCATTTAAATTCAATCCCCTTCAGTAAAGATAATAACTAGTTACTAGTTAATAACTTCTTATGGATGAATTAACTGATATTCTAGGACAAGACTAGCATTAATTGGAGGAGATAAGCAGAGGTACTAGGACAGCTTCCCTTTAGTTCTAGAATCAGGCTCTTACAGACCTTCTTTTCTCTCCTTTCCCACTTAAGTCCCCAAAATCATTTCTAAAATACTGTGATGCAATTTCATGGCCTTTTCAAAAAGTAGGTGACTTCCTTCTTCCCTTCCGAAGTCAGCCTTGCTCCCCTTACCCTTCCCAAGCTCCATGCCTGGCTCCCTTGCTGTGGAATTCTGGCAAGAGGCACAGGAGCGCCAGTTTCTTGACACTCATGACGGTTTTCTGCACCTCATGCTCATTATCCTCCCCTCAAGTTTTTATTCGCTGCTCTCTTCCACAGCCTGCCTGTACCCCTTTGCATGGCTCTCGCCATTTTCTCCCACACATGCTAATCCAGCATTGCTCTTAATCCAATGATAGCCTACCTCCAGCTGGACCATGGCATGGCTATGACCTCTGAATCCCAGTAGGCTTGAAGTGTGAAGCCTCCTTCAAACTGAAGCTGCACTAACTACTGCCTTGAGCATCCATGTTTCCTAATCAGTGATATTATAAGCTTTTTTGGGAAACTACTTTTAACTGTATTTCACATCACTTAGCACTGAGAATAGTGCTATATCCTTTCAAGATACAAGTGTATATAGCAGGGATTTAAAGTGTTTGTTTGCCTGAAATGGTTTTTGAAAGTTGTCCCTACTTTAAAAGAATAAGTAATAGATAGCGATTAAAATGAACATTGCAATAAGTCTAAAATGCATAATTACTTCCTGGTTTTCCATTTTGAAATTATGGAATCTATCAGTAAGTGGTTTGAAGTAAATATATCCTGTTGAATACTGTGATCTATTGATTGATCCATTGTATTTCTTAATTCATATTTTTCCATTGTTTCCATTGTTAATTGTAATGTTTTGACTTTAAGTGAAAGATCTCTTTAGTTCTGGCTTTTAATATTAATGTTTGCTATCCAAGGGAGGGAAATCTCTTTATTTAAAAGAATATTTTATGTCAGTAAGTAAAATATAATCTCATCTTTGCCTAGAATGTTTGCCTGTAAAATACGCTTAAATTTAAATGCTTTTTGGACAATCATTTTAAATCCCATATTTAATCTTTTATATGGAAAGCTAATCCCTAATTATTGAAGTTCAGTTTCACCAACTACACATACAGCTACACACAAAAAAAATCTGCTGAAATACAGTCTTATCTACTAAAAATACCAGGCAGTCCTACTTGGAAAAGTCTGTCTTTTGGCCTGCAGCTACCATTAAGATGGAACTTCAAAAATGAATTTAAGAGTGTACTTCCTAAATCTCAATTTAGAGAAAAATGACTCAAAGGAATGTTTGCTACCAGCATTTAGTTTTTAAAAGACTGTAAGAATTGTGCATTAGTTGGACATAATGTTGCTTGATTACCTGGTTTAATGCCTTGCTTTTCCTGTGTAACTCCAGCAAGCCCGTCAGCAAGGCGATTAAAACAGGCCCTTCCTCTCAATAGATCTAGAAGCTGCAACTCATAATTTAGTTCTTTCTGCACAGCTAAGGACAGTTTTCTTTTGGCACACAGGAAAGCAGAAGATAGTGCTGGGGGCTGCCACAACCAGCCTAAATTACTGAAAGGAAAGGAAAGTTCTCGGGAACTTTAATTTAACCCTACTAAGGCCAAAAACCAGAACTAATGAGTTACTGGAGGAGGAAAAGAAGAGGCCAAAGAACTAGAAGAGAAAAAATAAACAGCATTTACCTCTTCCTCCATACTTCAGTCTTCTAAAAGTTTATTGAGTTGGGAGAAAAGGAAATTTAAAGTCAAATGAAATTCGGTTTTTATTTTACATGGGATACTTTCAATTAATGTAACTAATAGTGAACAATTAATATCAGCAAATAGTATTTAAAATTGACTGAAGCAACCATAAAATCTTCCTGAGAAAAACAATCAGAAGCAAGGAAAAAAATCTCACAGAATGGACTTAAGAGGGTTGTATCCTGCTTTCACTTACAGTGCGATGGTACATTTTGTGTGTGCATGTATATCTACATACGCAAGCAAACACATGCACTTATGAGCACCTTAAGGTTCTTGTTCTGTTTCACTGAAAAGACATGTAGGAAAACAAGAAATAAAAAGGAAAATCTGTGCAAGAAAGACCATAACATGATAGAGATTACATATGACCAAATGATAGATACTTTTATCACATTGTCTCTCTAACTAGACTAATAACAACAAGGATGAGAGAAGTGATATAAAAAATTCTGCTACTCATTTGGGAAAAGAAAATGGTTAAACACTGCCTAAATAAGGTGAACTAAAAAACATAAAGCAAATGCAAATTGCTCAATTACCTAAATACTGCTAAAGATCTAGAATTATTCTTGGGAGAGAGTAATAAATGTTGGACTTTGAACCTATTTACACAGCTTTTTCACTTATCTACCCAGGGCCAAATTTAACTATGAGCCTAATTTTATCAGATTCCTGTTGCAATATTTCCCTGGGTCCTCTTGTCCTGGAAAATAACTTTCTGTTGGGCCCTTCTGCCTGATTCACTCCGAACATAAGTTACTCAAGAAGAGAATAACCTTTTTTACTCAAAGGTCAAAAATTCACAGAAAATAGCAATGATTAAAAGCTCTGTTTGTTGTCAAAAACACAAGGAGTTTTCTAGAGTTTCCTGGAAACAT